CCCCCCCACCCCACCCCGCCCCCGAGGAAATTTGCGGCCGATTTTCTCTCCTCTCCTCCGCCAACCTTTTCGCAGAGAGATTCTTTTCTTTAAACAAAAAAAAAAACAATAAAAAAATCTGTTGATCCGAATGGGGCTTCGCTTACCTAACTACCCGTCGTCCGCTGTGAATCTAAACCGGAGAAAAGCCGGTCATTTAATATTCTTCCAGCAAGCGACGAGTGCAAGACAGAAATATCTCAGTGGTGTTTGGGGTTTTTTTTGCCATGGGAATTGGGGTGCTGGAGTTGGAAGCCACGCGGGGTACGCCAAGGAGAATCGGAGGGGATCGTGTGTGTGTGTGTGTGTGTGTGTGTGTGTGTTGTTGTTGTTGTTGTTGTTGTTGTTGTTGGCTTGTTTCTTTACTGCTTCCCTCGCCCTCCTCCACCCACCTTAGATTAGAAACCTGGCTTGCTCTGAACTTTAAGCTCCTGATAAGAGAGTGCGGGGGTCGCGTGGATTTATGGCTTCCTGATTAGAGTCTTCCCTCCCTTCCCCCCCCCCCCCCTTTCGGAATCAGGCGACCGGGGTGGAATAAAACCCCCAGGTACAAACCGTTTGAAAGTTGCCTCCTTCCCCAGACAGAAAGAGGAGACGCGCGCCAACTTTATCCTGTGCAAATATTGATGCGAAGATCCTATCAAGATCGTTGCAAGAGTATTTGTTATTTCATGCACCTAGCTTTTCTCTCTTTCTCTCTCTCTCTCTCTCTCTCTCTCGAGCGAAGGTTGGAAAGGTGTAAGGAGGAAAGATCGCTTCCACCCAGCACTGGGGTCTGTGGGGACGAATTAGGAACAGGGACCTCGAGCTGGCAGTGGCTGGACAACCCCCCACCACCACCACCAAACGCCGGGGCTGGGCCGAGATCCTGCACCCCGGGCTGCGTTGAAGAAAGGGCCTTTCAGAGGGAACGAAAAGGCGGCGCCCGCCTGCCCGCGCTCCAGTTCCCAATGGAGTGATTATCTGAAGATAAAGACACGTGTCAACGGCGTAGGATTCCACCCCGGCAGAAGGAAAGAGCTAAAGTAGAGACGGGGGGGGGGAGGGAGGAAGGAAGGATGGAAGGAAAGAAGGAGAAAAAGAAGGAAAGAAGAAAAGGGAGGGAAGGAGGCAGAGAGAAACATAGAAAGAGAAAAAAAAGAAAAAAGGCAAGAAGGAAGGAAGGAACCAAGGAAAGAAACAGGGAGAAGGCAGGCAGGCAGGAAGAAGGAAGAAGGGAGGAAAGGGAAGGAAGAAGAGAGGAAAAAAGAGAAGGAGGAAGAAAAGAATGAAAGAAAACAGTAAGAAAGGGGAGGAAAGAAAGAGGAAAGAAAGGAAAGGAACGGAAGGAAGGAAACGGGGAGAAGCAGGCAGGAAGGAAGAAGGGAGGAAAGGGAAGGAAGAAGAGAGGAAAAAGAGAAAGAGGAAGAAAAGAATGAAAGAAAACAGTAAGAAAGGGGAGGAAACAAAGAGGAAAGAAAGGAAAGGAACGGAAGGAAGGAAACGGGGAGAAGCAGGCAGGAAGGAAGAAGGGAGGAAAGGGAAGGAAGAAGAGAGGAAAAAAGAGAAGGAGGAAGAAAAGAATGAAAGAAAACAGTAAGAAAGGGGAGGAAAGAAAGAGGAAAGAAAGGAAAGGAACGGAAGGAAGGAAACGGGGAGAAGCAGGAAGGAAGAAGGGAGGGAAGGGAAGGAAGGAGAGAGTAAAAAAGAAGAGAAAGAAAAAAGAAAACAGTAAGAAAGGGAAGGAAACAAAGAGGGAAGGGAGGGGGGGAAAGGGAAGGGAAAGGAAAGGAAAAGGAAAGGAGAAGGAAGGAAGAAAAAGGAAGTCAGTTGCCCACTTACAAATCCATGCTTGTCTGATATGTTATTGGTGAGCTTCAGTTTATGGAAGGCCACTGGCTTGGCCATCCACTGCTCGCCCGTCGCTGGACTGTCCGGATGGATGTACATCCTCTTCGGCATCTCCGGGTCGGCCTTGCCGGCCACCATCCAACGCGAGTTGTGGAACTTGTAGCGACAATCGTCGGCGGCCACAATATCCATCAGCAGGATGTACTTGGCCTTCTTATCCAGGCCGCTGACCCGCACTTTGAAAGGAGGGAACATCCGTCTGGAAGCGAAAGAGAGAGAGAGAGAGAGAGGAAAATAACTCGCAGCTCAATTCCAAGGCGGTGGTTCTTATTCATCGCTTTATTAGGAATAATTGTGTTTTGCAAACCCCGCTTATTATGCACCTGCCTGGTTATTGTCTAGCATTAAATGCCACAATTCTCTATCAATTTCCTGCTCGGACGGCTGAATTTCTCTGTGTCCCCACTTCTTATTATACAGCACCCCCCTTTTTTAAAAAAAAAAACTGGGGGAGACTCGGTTTACTCCTGAGTAACACGCCGCTTTGCTCTTTTTCCTGGACGCTCCCCCCCCCCCCCCCCGATTTCAGGTTTACTCGGGGAAGGGTGTGTGTCTTAACTCCTCTGAAACTCTGAGCAATTACTCCGGAGTAAAGCCTCTTCCCTTCCCCTCCCCAGCCCCGGGATTGCCCCGGTTTTAGCCCTGCGACCCAGCCGGCCCCAGTTTTCTTCCTTCACTATCAAACAAGCCTCGGGCCAAGGACAATCCAGACGAGCATTCGGGTTAGGAAATACAGGGAAATAATTCTCTCTAGGATTCAATATACGTTGAAATTATCTATCTATCTATCTATCTATCTATCTATCTATCTATCTATCTAT